TTGTAAATACAGCATAACACGCAATTTAGCATCACGTACTGTGTGAGCAGACAAATACCTGCAGAGTGGTCCCTGTCACAGGAGCATACAACCCTCAGTGCTGCTCCCACAGCTACCTCCACCCAGGCACAGAATCAGCTGCAATATTGGGCTTCAAAAGTCAAAGCAGGGCATCTCCAACATTCATCCTTCACCTCCCCTGGTTATCCCTTGCTGTAAGCGGGAGAGACCCTCCAGAACTGGCGGTCTGCAGCAGACCAAAAGGGAAGGGCAAGAGGCCTGTTGCTGGAGACATGACAAGCTGCCCCAGCAGGTTTCTGTTCTGCCATTTAACTGCTGAGCTCCTATATGACTTAGCTCAAATCAAATATTTTGGACCACATCTAACTTGATGCACAAGCTCTGATTCACTGTTTGCCATAGAGCAGACTCCTGTGCAATGCAGGGAGTATTTCTTAAGGACGTAACAATTTCACAGAGGGCAAGCAAGAGCATGACTTTACTCCAGGCTAGCTGCTCTGCGGTAAGCGTGTGTATGCTTCACCCTGTGCTAAATAGGAGTTCATGGCCCACTCTTTCATTGAAAAGTAAACTCCCTTCAGTTACTTTGGAGCTATAATGTGCAGAAGCACGTGGTTGGGTATTTACTGAGAAGTGACCAGTATGCATTTACCCACTATCCTATAATGGCTCGTTCGAGTGTCCGTTCCCCAGCAGCTCGTGGACTGATCACACTGCAGTGGTTATGGATTGAACAATCCAGCTCGTGCAGCAGATGTGCTGGCTTGCAAACCCAAAGCTTACAATGGCTCTAGGTCTCTGTATTTAACTGACTGCAGGTGTGATGGCCCTTTACAAGTCCCCCTACCTGCCTTAGAAGATGCCGTCAGAATGCAAAAAAGGGAGAAGCACGCAACTGGAAGGATGGGGTGGCAGACTGCTCTGCTCCCGCCATCCCCCATCTCTCTTCTGCTCCATAAAGACCCAACAGGTCCCAAGACACAGCCCTCACACAGTGACAATCCAGTGAGAACAGCCCAGGAGACAAAGCTTGCTGAGAGCAGGGCAATTCAGTATGAACAAGAGAAAGGGTTGTTATGACCAGCCAGGGGAGCTGAAAAGCTGCCTGAGGAGCAAAGGGTCATCACGGCATCTCCAGAAAGGCTGCCTGCCCACAGGCAAAACCACGTATCAGCAAAGAGAAGCCCTGGGGCACGCCATGCTAAGGCTCCAGCATCAGAGGTTAATCGCTGAGTGTCTGCAGGCTGTCAGCACTCTGCAGAGGTGCTAATCCATGGCTGGGTGCCTGATGCAGCCTGATAGCACCTCCTGCACACGGCTCCTCCGTCACCAAGTTGGTACTGAGGCTGGGTAAAGTCCAGAGGATGATACTTTATCTCTTTATAGTAAGGGGTCTACAGATTCAGCCATTTCCAGCACACTAACAAACCAAAGGCTTACAGTTCTGGGCAGCAGAGCTTAATCTCATAAGAAGTTAAATCATAAGCAGTTCCACGGATGCACAGCACCAGCAGAGAGAGAGAAACAAACATCACAGTCTGCACTGGAGTCCTCAGAGTCCTGACAATTTGCGTCATCTGAAATGTTCTCCTGGCCACCCCACACCATGCTCAGGGCTCCCAGAGGAGCCAGAAAGCCACAGCTCAAATGGCTCCGGGCACTGCTGAGTGGACAGGACTACTACTATGCAGCAAAAAACACCAAGGCAATAACCATCCCTAGTGTTGTACGTGCAACAGGCAATGATGCCTCTGAACTGATGTTCATGCTTGTCCCCCAGTAAATTGCTTGCAGTGTAAGGTAGGTTGTTGCATGCCTGAATTACCAGCTGCAGTACCAGTGATGTCTGGTTTCAAGCCCAAAAGACCTGTATACTCAGAACTTCCACCTAAACATAAATCACATACATACACCTTGGTCTAGTGAGACAGACAAACCTGCACCCCGCTCCTTAAGAAGATTGTTTAACCAAAGAGAGGATCTTTACTAGCTCATTTATTTCGTGCTAAACCATCTTCAGGCATTAACATTTAATTTTCCCCAGACATTGCTAGGATCCTCAACTAAAGTTTTTCTTTATCACCAGCTTATCCCAAGAAAAGATGTAGTAGGAAACGTGTAGTAGGAAACAGCTCTCCCTTTTCTTAAGACTTCAGTAAACAGACTGAGCAAACTCCTGAAAAGCTTTACCACTCCCAGAGAGAAGTAATTGTTCATTGTGGGTGACCAGTTTTGCTCCTTGCTCAGACTTCTGGCTACTAATGCCACAAGTGCAATCAAAATATACGTCTGAGTTGTACCCCCCTACTATCCTCCAGAACCATCTGGCCCAAATTATATTATCAAAGCAAAGGATGTTACTACATTCACCCTTTATTGAATCCTGGGAAAAACACTTTGAGATCAGCCCCAAACTATTTTAGTAGCTCTCCTCAACCTTGCTGAAAAAGCCCTCAAATTACAAAGTTAATTGGCAGCACATTGTTACCATATGTGGTGTGCAAGTGAAGCACTGAAGTTTATTTAGGCATCAGAACCAAAGAAAAGTGGAATATTACTGCTCTTTATGAGGATTTCGTGTTGGCCTTGATTGCTAAGGCATCCCCAGCCTTGATCCTCCTGTGTGTAGCCTGCCCAACATACCACAGCACACTGCTGCACAGGGGCACCAGTGTGCCCCCATCCTGGGTCCCCCCAAGAATCTCAGGACACGTATTGTTTGCTGTGCTTTTGCTCAGCATTTTCCATGTTCATACGCATCTTTCTTGAGTGAAGTTTTCCAGGCTGTCTCACATCCCTAAGACATGACCCTGCACCCAACTAGCCATGCTCTGTGGCTGCTGGGTCGCCCTGTCTCTTGTGGAGCAACTCTCCTTGCTCTAGTCGCCTCACTCATCTTGCTGGATCTCTCTTAAATCTTTAATAAGAGTTGGATTCTTGGTCTGTAGGCTCTGATTTCCACTCTGTCCATTTAAAGTCTCGATGAAAAGAGGTCTGTAGAAAATTTGTATCACCAGGACCCTACTCAGACTCTTCTTCCCCCTTTACACTGGCAGCAGTAGCTTCTGCTGAAGCATTTGCACTGATGCAGCCGCATCCACTAAAGCATGGGGCTGCAGCAGCGCCATGACAGCAGTCCATAGTTGATGTCTGCAGTAAAATTTGCACCCACAGGCCAGAAATACTCTCTCTCTATTTTCAAACTCTGACAGAATCACTATATGAGTGTGTCCTTGCACAGACAGCACAGGGGATACTAATGTCCCAGCTCCACAGATGCACCTGCAGAGCTCCTGCTGCCCCATCTGAAGGAATGAACTACAATTTACACAGTCTAGCAGGGTCATGGGCAAAGATTGCTTGCCTTTAAGCTCCATAAACTATTTTTAAATGCTCAAATGGACATTCATGAAGTGAAACATCAGGTTTCAATTAAGATGCCTTCATTTCCCAATCTGATGTGTGTTAAACAACCTATCAAAACCTCATAAACTTCAGTTCACAGCATTTTCATTTCCGGATTCTCTCTTCTCCTCTCAGCTTAAGTAATATCTTGTGTATTACAATAACGTGTTTAAAAATAAAAACAAATCTGGAGAAAATAAAGGCAAAAGTCTGATGACTTCTGTCCTTCATTGGGGCAGCAGTCCTGATTTTCTGGAAGACAAATCAAGACCACATCCTTCTCAGGGTAAGTTCTGGAGAATGCAGAGAGTAAGTTACTTCCTCACTGAAGGAAATATTCAGGATAAGATACCTTCAGTGCATAGAGTAAAAATCCAGTGTTTCCAGAAGCCCGTAACAGCTGCTGTATGTACACACGCAGCAATGCATTTCATAAAAGAACCATCCTGTGTGGCTGAATCTGTCTGCACATCTTGCATGCTGCATTTTAAGAAGTTAATTTCTTGCCTCCAGGCTCCCACCCATCTGACCTGCACAAAACAAACACCTCTAATATTTCTGAAGACTTCACGATATAATTAGAGCATGGAAAACGAGGCACTATTTGTCTAGTCCAAATCCATGTTGCAACATGGCAAATCTGTACTGATAACAATGGAAGGACAATGCGAGGGGCAGAGCAAGCAGACTTTGCCCAGCAAAAGTGCTTCTCTCTTGGGTTTGTCAGCTGTGCTAATGTGCCCAAAAATGTCACGTGTGGTCTCTATCAGCAACTATATCACATGCGTACATGAGTAATTCACCCACCCAAGTAATACTTTCTCTAATGGTTGATATACTAGGTAAAGCAAATATAAATAGGTTCTGAGGACGGTGTTGCAGTGTGAGATAACCCAGAAAAAACAAGTCACCGCCTGCTCCACGCTAACACTCCAAAAAGCTGCACTGTGGGAGACTAGAATGACCATGAAGGTATTTTGTTAATAACTATGACCTAAAACTTGTGTCTTACATTGTTTTCTTCTGTAAGCTTCTACATCTAAAACTTGCCACTAAGATCAAAATTTCTTACCAAAGGCCTTATAAAACAAACCTTTACCATCTTTTACTATAAGCCTGGGATATAAGATGAGACGTACGATTCAAATGATTTTAGGCTGCAGTCTCCATGAGGACAGTTAATTGTAAAACAGTAGCGTGACCTTTAGGGAGACCTGCACCGCTTCCAGATGTGCTGAGGGTGCAGAGAGCAGGGTTCCTTCTTCCTTTTGGGAAGGAACTCCTCCACCCACACAACAAGTGCCCTTCTGGCAGGCTGCAGGTGACAGGAAATCACCCAGCTGGTGCTGCAAGCCTCAGAGCTGCCTCCAGAAAAGCAGCTCTAGTACCAGAAAGGATGGATCTTGCTTCGGCGTTAAGGAGGCCGAGTGCTGCTGCTATAAAAGAGCCAAAGTCCCTTCCCTTCAATGTCCAACAGTGGAGGCCCAAAGGAAAAGTAAGGACAGCGTAAGCCTATTCTGCTGCTTGGTCTCTTGTACCTCCCCTGGGTTTTGCTTGCTCTGCTTTATACTTACCCCTCTGCCCATCAGGCCATTGTTGAAAGGCAGGCCGATGAAGCTGAAAGCTGCCTCCTGGATGAAGTAGGGATTCAGGATACGTATCTCATGAGGTTCTCTTGGGACACGGGTTGCCACTGACTTCCAAAAGCCATCAGAGGCACTCTGGTAACAAAAAGAAAAAGAAAAAAAAAGGAAAGATAAAACAACAAATACAATTATATACAAAAGATAGCCTATTGCTACTACTATTTTAAAAACCCAAAACACTACTGGCAGCATTTCCCGCTGTCCCTGCTCACTGCCACAAGGCACCAGTATGAGGTGCATCCTGGAGGGGTGACAGCAGCACGTGCAGATGCACTTGAGCTAGTCTGGATGACAAGTGTGAGGAAGACAGAGAGGCCTGGGCTTCAGCATGAATGCCATCCCTGGTGCCATCTTTTCACTCCTATCAGCACTTCAGCTAGTTTGGTTAATGGCTTAGGCTTTCCAGTACACGCTGTGATCACTCCCGTGCTTCCAAGGGGATATACCCATGGATAGCAAATGCTCTTAAGAACATTAAAAGAGCTAAAAATGACCGTACAGCTCTACTTTCAGTGTGAGCTACATACTTGCCACTTTATCCTAGATTTATTCCCTTCTGTCAGGTTTTACGTGACTTAAGCTGTAAGTTTACAAAGGTGCCATCTCGCCTTGTGAAGGGCCATACATGTTCACAATACAAGGGGAAAAAAAAGCTAAGGATGTCCTTTCTGGTTTTCCAATAAATTGTTTTTTAACTAAAGTCTTCACTCTGCAAACGTAGGAGAACACTGGCCTTGAAGACAGCTACCCTGCTAGGCAGTCCTGCCTGGAGAGGGGCTCCTGTCTCTCAGACACATGGCTTTTATATCATTGCTCCTGCTGGTCCAGATGTTAGCGGGTATAGCATGTACTATTCTCAAAATAACCAGAGGCTCCTTGTTCACAGGACCCACAGAACAATTACATTCTAACATTTCATTTCTGTTTGGGTTAAAAATGCAGAGCAAGGCACAAGGAGGATGGCAGGAATTTTAATCTGCTAACCAACAGCTTTGGCAGGGTAATCTGACTGAATACCTGCTTCTTGCAGCAATGAGCCATCTTCCCCGCGATCTCCCTGACAAGCAACAGAGGCAGACATTACACCCTACACAAAATGCATGTGTTTTGGCAGTCATTAATATACCTGTTTTGGGTTCCTTGCAGCTTAACAGTGACTTTACAGTTGCTTTCAAAGCACTGCTGAAAACGGTGATAATCCCCTGCAAAATCCTCAGCAGCCTCGCCTGCCCAGTAGCGATCATCCCTGTAATTATTGACGGCAATTCTGCCACAGCCTATGCCTGCTGCATTTCACATGGTACTTGAAGGGCGCAGGGCTCCTGTCAACTCTCACGCCCTGCCGTGCTGAACACCTTACAGAGGCTTCTGTACGGAACAGTCCCATGGTTATCTTTAAATGCTGAATTTCAGAACCTGAAGTATGAAACTTCGGTAGATGGCTCTCGCCTTACAAAAGGCATTAACACAGCCAACTCGATGAGGATGCATGTTATCGTCCAAACCAACAGCCTAAGACAGCTCAATGCCACAGCTGTCCTGTTTTGATCCCACAGCTCCCCTCAAAGCTGCCCAAACATAAATATACTTTTGCTGCCCAGGGCAAGGATCCTGCGAGTTCAAGTTTGCATTTCGACAATGGGAAAGTGCTCTTAGGACCCTAAATGGAAAAAAAATCCTAATTAACAGTCATGTTCTTTCATTATAGTTGAATTAGAAAGGATGCCTGGTGTCACAGCAGTCTAACACTTTTCATTATACGTTTTCATTATGACATTTTCAGCCACTGAGTGATCCCACCATTTTTAAAAAATTAGGAAAATAATATTAATTTTACAAACGTTAATAAAGTACAACATCCATTCGGTCATGGGATTTGAGGGATTTGGTATGTCACCTGAGTTTTGCCTCCTTATGAAAATTCATTAAAAATTGGATAAATACGAAACCTTTGAATTTTCTAAAGGTACATGTAAAGCAGAGGTCTTTCAGTTCCAGGGAAGGAGGGGGGGAAAAAAAGAAATAAAAAAATTTCACAGATTCCACTTGCATTAAGCATGCTCCAAGCCTCAGAGAATGAAGATGATAAACAAAAATCTTGAACAGCTACTCATTCAGTGAAACCATCTATCTTATCATGGGTTTAAGCAGGCACACCCTGGAAAAATAGAGTGTGACCCTGAAACTAAAATAAATTTATAAGCTGAATTACAACTTCATGTGCAACTCTAAATATAGCACTGTCTAAATTTTGCAAACAATTCAAATCAAAGGTCTGCAAGCTATTTAAAGTGGACAAAAGGCGCCTTTTGTTTGGACTCACACTCCATAAGAGATTCTACAGAAGTTCTCGGATTTAAGTAGCTTTTACATTACACACAAATTGTTAAAGAGGAAAAAAAAAAAGGAAGATTACAAACACTTGAGACTTTTATTCTTTGCTGTTACTTCAGCTGTTCAGAAAGATAATTACACATATCACAGTTGCCTATTTTCCCAGTGCTGTGTGAACTGCTAGGACCATACCTGGGCTCCTCTCCGCTAATTCAATGCCAGTGGATCCTATCGATGCCAGCAGATCCTATCCATAGCTGAGAATATCACCTGTCTGTTTTGGTCCCTTCCCTGTGGCTGTTTCTCCTGTCATTCATCCAGACGATTTCCCTGACCACCTTCCTCACCCATCACGCAGCTCTGAAATTGTTCTGGTTTCTCCCTTCTGTCTCATTTCTGTTTGCTCTGTGTCCTCCCCTGTAACTTTTCTGTGCAGTTCTCCTTGGATTATTATTGAGGGTAATCTTTCATTTTGGTATGTTTTCCCTCTGTAGTTTCTAAAACAATTCTAGGGAGAAATGTGGAACCTCAGCAGACAGCTCTCGTACACTTATACACCAGGCAAAGCCCTGCATGGGGCTAGAGAACTAAAAACTCTTTTCCTGGCTTATAATTACTGAAATTCTCAGCCTTGTGGTTTGGCTCTACAAACCCTGTAGTTTCGAGCTACATCTCAAACCTTGTGGTTTTGTTCTGCAGCTTGTCACTGGCAAGCTACAAAACACAGCACCACCACCACGGCCAGTCCCGGGAGGCTGCTTCCCTGGCGCAACCACCCCGGGAACGGCATCGTCGGGAGCGCGGCCCCTCCATGGCTCCGTGCTACCGCTGATGCTCAGCCGCGGGCTGCTATGCCTCGCGTGGATGTTGGGGCTGATTGGACACAGATGTTCAGCGAGGTTTCCAAAGCAATTACTTCCCGTCGGGGAACTCTGTCCCATTTTAGGCTGGGAGGAGGCAGGCAGCCACTACTGAGGAGCGGCAGGCGTGGGGAGGGAAGGCGTGCTGCTCCTGCCAGATCCAGGAGCTCAGCCTCCCAGTTGAGGTTGGGGGCATCCCCTCTTCTCCACTACAGTGACTAAGCCTGCAGCGCTCAAGGGTGGGTCTCTGAGAATGCAAAATCTCCCTTCCTCACTATCATAATGACAAGTCAGAAAGCGAGGCTGAAAACGGCCCAGGCAATTTCTACAGTACCTCCTCACCTCCTGGCATCAAGGGGGGAACCATAGGGTCCAGGCTGGAAATTGTGTTTCCCCACGTTAAGTTCCCACCTGTATTATTTGTTAGTATTACTGTGCACCAGGAGCCTCAGTCACAGATCAGTGTTCACGGTGCCAAGGGCTGCCAAAACCAGCTTATAGTATAAGCATAAAGAAATAAGCAACACGGAGAGAGGGGCAGACATGGAAACATGACTGAAGAGCAAGTCCCTGAGGGCCACAGCATTTTTAAGCAATCTTGGAGTGATTTCAAAACTATGTAATTGTAAAGGACATCACTAAAGGCTTCAGAGAAGACTATTTAAAAAATAGAAAGAATTTAGATGGGCCAGAGCTTTCAAGCCAGTCTCTTGTACAGCTCTCATCCAGGGAGAGAGGCAGAGATATCCCCTCTAGAGACAGTATTCGAGGAATAAACGGGCACAGACATGACAGGCCAGAGATGGCAGGTTATGAGGAAGGGATAAAAAAAGGCACGGCTCACCTAATAGCTGCAGAATACTGATGGGTAATAGGGACAGCCGGTTGTAATCTATTTCTGTCTCCATTCAGTTTTCAATCTCCTGTTCTCAGATTTACCAAGGCGAATCACAACATACACTAAAATAAAATGTGGAAACTCGGAGCCTTAGCCAAGAAGCACACCTCAATAGAAGATACAAACAGCTAGAAGCAGGCTGAGTCTCCCAGAATAACAACATTTCTAATGTACTAAGCAAAATGAGGGGTAATGCTACTGTGTCTTGATGACACGGATCTTCTGTACCTCTGTGATACCACGGGATTTAGGAGCACAAGCAGCAGTGCTCTGGAAGATTTCTCAGTCTGATGGGAAGAGGACAGGGAGATTGCAAAGGTCAGCTATGCACAACACAAAGCTGAATAAAGTCTGGGTATGCAATACTCTGATGCAGAGCAACAAGAAAGATGAAAAGACTGGAGAGAGAACCTGTCATAAATGGAGATTACTGCTCTTTCAAACTCCAGTAACACCAGAAATGGAGAGGAAGAAGGGCACGAGGGAAAGAAAAATCCAGGGGATGACATACCAGTCACAAGACCTCACCGTGCCTGGGAGCACACAGTTCACTGGGATCTCTGCCCCCACCTAGGCTGGAATGTGGTTTATTCTATACCTGTCATCCACAAGCACTCCCTGTCACACAAACAGGGTACAGCAGGACTGCTGCAATCCATCTGCAGGGGCTTTTGAAAAGTTTCTGCTCAGGCATAACTGGATTAGATGTGGAAGGTGTGTTTCCTCTAGAAAATAACCATCTTATCAGCCAATGCTGCATTTCTCAGCGGTCAAGTAGACATGGAGGCTTAGAAAATGCTCTTCTACAAGTGGTAATATAAATGAACTTGCATCATTTCTACTGATTATCAAAGCAACAAGGAATTTTTTGTAACAAGAACAGAGGTGCTGAGAGCCTGCAGTCTGGGTTGATGGTCAACTGCCAGACCCACTAGCCCATACTTGAAACATATTTACCCAACTTTCTCAAACCAATGGAGAAC